AGAGAGAGAGAGAGAGAGAGAGAGAGAGAGAGAGAGAGAGAGAGAGAGAGAGAGAGAGAGAGAGAGAGAGAGAGAGAGAGAGAGAGAGAGAGAGAGAGAGAGAGAGAGAGAGAGAGAGAGAGAACGATGGATGACATTGATTTGTCTAGAGTCACTTTGATGGCTAGTTTTTTTTTTTTTGTACATTTTTATAGTTTTCTTGCACATTAATATCATATTTAACATTGTTATACAATGTTTACTTTTAGCTTGACAATAATATTGTTATTAATTAATAAAATTATTTTGTTTATTTTAGTTTCATTGTTAACTCTCTTTGATTGACAGTTAGTTTACTTTGTACATTCTTTGATTTTAAATTTCAGAGGCATTGCATATTATATAGGATTATATATATATTGTATTGAACTACCTGAAAATTATATTTTTCATGTACAAGTTTGAGAAAATTTTAAAAATAAACAAAATATTTTATGAAACAAACTTTACGTTGACCACCCACCATAAAATATGTTGATATTCTACATAGTCACTTTATGACAGATCTAGGATTGACATAGAAAGTTCCGGACACGATAATGTTTTTATTGAATTTTATAAGAGAGAAATAAAGAGTTTTATCAAAAATTCAATTTTACAATATAATTTGATAAATTTCCCACTGTATATTGGTTATTTGGTTATGATTTTTATTCCGGAGAGACATGACAGAAGAAAAAATCTGAAGACTCTTTTATATGTTACAGTAATTAATAAAATCAAAAGGATTGTTAAATATGTTATAATCATTAGTGAACCCACTCTATGGGCCCAGACTTAGTAAAGTGAATATAAATAGTGACGTTTAGAAAAAAAAGTATTTTTACATTTATTATAGTATTAATTATCATTGATTTATCTAGATGTTGTAGGTATCTTCCCTTTCTCCTCTTCAAATATGTATATCTCTAAAAACTACCAAAGTATTATAAAGGAAATAAGTAAAAATCATCTAGACGAGAACTTATAAAAAGGAGGACAAAAGTGACAAACCCTCATATAGGTACAATTTTTATATGAAAAAATTTACAAGGATACAATAACATTATAAAGAAATTTATATTAAGAGGAAAACATTAGTAAGTACTATAAGGACATATCAGCCAGAAAGATATTTAGAGGTTCTTAAAAATAAGCAACTGTGGCTTATAAGAATTCTGCAATGGAACATGCGTACATGGCAACTCAAATTCCTTTAAGCAACACCGTGTGATTTTTGATCAAATTCCTTAAGCAACACCGTGTGATTTTTGATGTTACATGATGACAATTTTTTTTTCTGCAACTTAATGACATCTTTTAAATACGTTGATATCATTACAATCAAAGTTACGCTTTCAAATTAAACAAATCTTAAGTATCTACAGAATTATGAAATTTGATACACTTTTTCTTCGATTTGTCAAATATGTAAAATTTTACAATAATTGAAGATACAAGAAATACTATCTTGTTTAATAATATTTTATGTATTTGGTCACTCCAACTTAATTTATCTAGCTTTACCACTTTGCATTGCACCTTAAAGATAATGTTCCATTGCTAAGCAAGCATGTGTATTATTCGATTGGAATAGTTCCTAGTTTTCATTCATGGTCACACAATCTGATACACTGTTTTTGGATGGTATATGTTGTTACACCATGGCTTACGTACTTTTCGACAAACCCATTAATTTGTTGAATAGATCCACCTTTTCTCATAATTCTTTCCCTCATCGAAGTGCCTCTATACAGTCTCCACACACACATGATGATTATTAGTTGCGGATGCTCTTATAAAAAAGGCAATGCGTAAAAATGTGCCAAGCATAGAGAGTTACGAGCAATAAATGTTCCTTCAAACAAGGGGCAGACTAAACAGGATAGGTTGGTCTTGCTTTATGGATGTGGGGTATTCATACCCTCAATCTTTCTTTGTTCCTTTATAATCTGTCACTTCATTTGCTATATAGGTCACAAGTGAATCAACCAAAGCAAAAGTCAATGCAAAGTGTATGAAATCTTCACGGCATGCATATAGGATTCAGAAATACTATTATCACACTCTTTGTTATATTTTTTAACATTTCTTTTTGTGCATCATATATTCAGCAAAAGTTAATGCAAAGTGTATGATAAAATGCTCAATATTTTGAAAGTCATAAGCAACATGCTCAAAAGAAAAAAAAAAAAAAAAAAAAAAAAAGGGGAAAAAATTTTAAAA